GAATTAATTCACGTAGAGGGAAATTGCTGTCCTGAATGCATTTCGAGGAACAGCTACTGTGTTTATGAAGAAAATGCAGACTTTGGGAGTATCTGGTTAATAATAAAAAAGCATTAATTAAAAAAAAAAATTCTATGTTTAATGAAATGGAATGATTTCTTTCATCCTTTATACATTTATGTGTTTTAAAAAGTGCTGTTGCACACCTACTATGTGTTAGAAAAGGAACCCTCCTGGTATAGTGGGTTAAGTGTTGGGCTGCTAATCCCAAGGTCGCTGGTTCAAACCCACCAGCTGTTTGTGGAGGCAAAGATGAGGCTATCTGCTTCTGTAAAGATGTAGTCTCAGCAACTTCTGTGAGGGGCACTGTGAGAGGGACTGGGCTCCATGGCAGTGGAGGTGCGGAAGTGAGCACAGCTGACCTGTCTGCTGCTCTGATGGGGCGTATGTTCCAGTGTGAGACACAGGCAGCACCACACACATGTCCAGTGGTGAGCAGAGCTGTGAAGAGGGGGAAGCCAACAAATACAGGGACAAGGGAACAACAAGAGATCTAAAATCGATGGTGAGGAGGGCGTAGGATGCCTGGTGGGGCTTGATCAAGTGCAATGTAACTAAGAGGAATTACTGAAACACGAATGAAGGAGGAACATGATAGTGGGACAAGAGGAAAGTAAAAGGAAATAGAAGAAAGAAGTAGAAGGCAAAGGACCTTTACAGAGGTCTAAATACAGGCATGTACATATGTAAATATATTTATATATAATGATAGGAAAATAGATACATGCTCATATATTTATATGTTAAGTATTAAGGTAGCAGAAGGACATTGGGCCTCTACTTAAGTACTCCCTCAATTCAAGAACACTTTGTTCTAATAACCTGGTATTCTGTAATGCTTACTTTCCCAACACAATCGCTGAAACCAAAATGGGTACATAAACAAATGTGGTGAAGAAAGCTGATGGTGCCTGGCTATCAAAAGTTATAGCATCTGGGATCTTAAAGGCTTGGAGAGAAACAAGCAACCATCTAGCTCAGAAGCAACAAAGCCCACATGAAAGAAGCACACCAGCCTGTGTGATCATGAGGTGTTGAAGAGATCAGATATTAGGCATCAAAGACCCAGAACAAAAATCTTATCGATATGAATGAGGGTGGAGCGGAGACCCAAAGCCCATCTGTAGACAATTGGACATCCTCTTACAAAAGGGTCATAAGGAAGAGACCAACCAGTCAGGGTGCAGTATAGCACCAATGGAACATACATCTTTCCTTTAGTTCTTTAATGCTTCCTCCCCCGCACTATCATGACCCCAGTCGACCTCACAAATCCAGCTAGACCAGAGCATGGACACTGGTACAGATAAGAGCCCATAACACAGGAAACCTAGGACAGATAAACCCCTCAGGAGCAATAATGAGAGTAGTGATACCAGGAGGCTAAGGGGAAGGTTGGGGAGGGGGAGGAGGGAACCAATCACAATGATCTACATATAACCCAGGCGGGTGGACAACAGGAAAGTGGGTGAAGGAAGACATCAGACAGTGTAAGACATGAAAAAAATAATAGTTTATAAATTATCAAGGGTTCATGAGGGAGGAAGGGTGGGGGAAATGAGGTGATACCAAGGGCTCAAGTAGAAAGAAAATGTTTTGAAAATGATGATGGCAACATATGTACAAAGGTGCTTGACAGAGTGGATGGGTGTATGGATTGTGGTAAGAGCGGTACGAGCCTCCAATAAAATGATTTTTTTAAAGCAGTTGCTGTTGTTGCTGTTGAGTTGATTCTGAAATAGAGCTATGCTCCACATCGCTTTCATGGCTGTGAGGTTTCAAAAGCGACTCTCACATGACTCACAAGTTAGGAGGACCGTAAACATTCTCAAGTGCCGTGCCTTATGAAGAAGCCATGGCTGAGTAGTGGGTTACAAGTTGGGCTGTGAGCTGCAAGGTCAGCAGTTGGAAACCACCAGGCACTCAGCAGGAGAAGGATGAGGCGTTCTGCTCCTGAAACAGTTACAGCCTCAGGAGACCCCCAGGGGCTGTCCTAGCCTGCTCTGCAGTCACTATTCGTCGGAATCCACTCCTTGGCAGTGAGTCTGGAGGAGGTTTTGGTGCCTTCCAAATGAATCAAAATTCTACTGCTTGCTTTAGTAGTCAAAGCAACTAAAGTCCTCAAATGCCCTTCCACCTTGGGCCATCTCACACGCAGTGTGCGGTATACTAAATGGGGCTCCAAACACAGAGATCACAACCATGAGAGGGAAGCCCACTGGTCGTGTTCTGGAATCCTATAACAAGCTTTGGAAAGAACCAAGAAGGAAGAAAAGAAAACGTTCTAAGTCTGTCTAGACTTCATCGCTTCAGAACACACCCTCATCTGCTAAGGCGATGGCAAGGGGGGATAATTAGGATTTGCTAGAAGATGGCTACATGCCAACTTTATCTCATCAGCAGCCTTAAGTTACTCCCATCTATCTCGTACCCCCATCACGGTCTCCAGCACCAGAAAATAATGAGACACCAGCTTGAGAAACTAGCTAGCAGACCATATTAGATTCAGCTGCTCACCTTCACGATGATCAATCGCAAATTTTAAGGGATCGTTGTTGTGAAAGTGACAGGTGATTTCTAAACTGTCCTCAGCAAATCAATCTTTGCCACTAATCATGAGCGACACCTCAGTAGATACGGTTCTTTGGAATGAAAAGTTAGAAAAACCAATTTGTAAGTTTCCCAGTCTGCAACCATGGGAGAGTCAGTCCACTACAACTGAGCAAGGGAGCTTGCGTGAAATGTTATCATGAATCATGGTCAATAAATGGTTTAGGAAGTGAGGCATGTTGGTAGCATAGTGGTTACCCATTGGACTGTGATCTGCAAAGCTGGAAATTTGAAGCCATCAGCCACTGCAAGGGAGAAAGACAAGACTTTCTACTCCTATCAAGAGTTACCGTCTCAGAAACCCACAGGAGCAGTTCTACCCTGTCCTGTCCTGTCCCTGTGTGTTGGCACAACTTGATGGCAGTGACTTGGTTTTAGCTGGGAGGATTTCCCAAAGTGTGTGAGACTGATCCCATTGGTGGAATTCAAGAACAGTTTATGAAGTGCAAGGATGAACTTCTAGAAAGTGATTACATATTCATTCTATGTTAGAAAAAAGTATAATTCTACACTAAACCCATGATTTCACGTGAAATACTTTGATAGACATCACAGACTACAGCCTTCGATATAGGTTACAACAGAGTATAAAAAAAACAAAATTCCTCACAATTGAACTAATATACAACAATATCATGAGATAAGGAAAAGAGGTTGTCAAAGATTTTTAAAATTTTTGCTCCACAATCAATGCTCATGTTAGCAGCCATGAAGAAATCAAATGGCATGTAGACTTGGGCAAAGCTATTGCACAAGATGTCTTTAAAGTGTTAAAAAGCAGAGATGTCACTCTGAGAACTAAGATGTGCGGGAGAGAAGCCCTGGTATTTTCAGTCACTTCATATACATGTGAAAGCTGGACAACGAATTAGAAAGAACGAAGAGCTGACACTTTTGACTTATGGTGTTGGCAAAGAATGCTGAAAGTACCATGGATTGCCAGAAGAATCCACAGGGGTAAAAAAGTACAATCTTTGAAGAAGTACAACCGGAGTGGTCCTTAGAAACATGGATGGCAAGACTTCATCTCACAAAGGATGGGCAAGTTCTATTTGGCATGGAATCAGGAGAGACCAGTCTCTGGAGAAGGACATATGCTTAGTAAAGTCGAAGGGGGAAAAAGGAAGAGCTCACTGAGTGGACTGACCCAGTGAATGCAACAACGGGCTCAAGCATCGAAGTTTAGCAACCGTGAGGACGGCACAGAGGCAGGCAGTGTTTCATTCTGTCATGCACGGGGTAGCGATGGGTCAGAATTCGCTCCATAGTACCAAACAACATGTATTAGGATGAGGCTGCAATAAAAATACTGATTTTGAAAAAAAATATGAAGTAAATAATATTAAGGGTGCACACAGGTATAGAAAAAACATGTGAAGATGGCATACGAAAGATTTAGGCCAGGAAACACAGCTCTTCCCTGGGCTCCTTACTCCCTAAGCCAAGGACCCCTTTGCTGTTGTTAGATTCTGTCATGTGCTGAGTTACATCATCTCGGCTGTCAAGCAGCTGAGTGGTGCAACGAATGAATCAATGCCCAGTCCTGCTCCAGTCTCACAATTGTTAAGTTTGAACCCAATGTCGCAGCTACTCTGTCATTCTCTCTTGGGTGGGTCTTCCTCTCTTCTGCTCACCCTCTATTTCACCCAGCATGAGGGTCGCACAACTATGAAAACAGAGAGTTCCCTTTTTCGACTTCAGTTTGGCTTACAGAATGGGTGAACTGAACCTTCGATCTAAACGCATCTACCTGACTCTGAGATATACAGTTCACGAGCTGTTCCAGGGGGCAGAGAAGAAAAGGCAAGCCCCGACTCCTAGGCTCTTGCTCATGCTGCAGTAACTCCGCAAAACATCAAGGTCTCCGTTTGTAAAGAACATACCAATAGGTCTTTCAGTTTAAGGGAGAACAAAATAAATAATGCCTTCTGAGATTGACAAATATGTTTTTAAGTTTCTGAATTTCCTAAGCACCTACAAAACAGGTTTTTAACCAATGTTTGAATAAATGGATTGTTGTTGGCAGCTGCCAATGAGTCAACCCCACGGACTCACGGTGACCCTGTGTGTCACGGAGTCTGACTGTTTCCTGCGGTTGTCTAGACACAGTCTTTACAGAAGCAGATCACCAGTTCTGTGCTCCAGCCAGTCACTGGATGGGTTAGAATCACCAACTTTTGGATTAGCAGTTGATCACAAATTGTACCACCCAGTAGTTGAATAAATGAATAGCTATTCATATCTTAACTTTATGGTTTAACAAAAGTACTATCAGCACGAAACTTTACATTGAGGTGCAAGAAAACTGTAGCTGTATAAATGACACCTACCTTGGGTACCATCTTCACGTGGAATAGTATATTTCGGAAGGAGTGTCCATCATTGGCCTGCAGGACTGCAAAATCAGATGTGTTATCCGAGCCATCGTGAGCATAATGGAGAAGCCCCCGGGAGAGCTCATCCAGTCGGAATTGATAGATAGGGGCTGTGGGAGCCTGAAGCATCTGGAGCAATTGGCCATGCAGTGGAGGATCCAGCACTTCAACTACCACATCCTGTGGGTTATCATCATCCCGGATGTCAAGCAGCTGAGTGGTGATGCGTCTACTCTCTCCTTTGCTGATGTGGAGGATTTCATTTCTCAGCACATACGGGGCCTAAAGAGTTGAAGGGAACATAAGGAAGAGAAGTCATGAGAGAGAGAGAGAGAGAACCATATCATGAACTAGATCCCAGCTGTGTGTCACCTAATTGCTAGATCTCCACTTTCTAAGGAAATCTAGGTGGTCCTGGAAGGTGCCAGACTGCTTTGTAGAGAAAGCATTTGTCAGGGGCATGGTCAGTTGTGGTAATCACAGTAATTGTGGCTACATCACTCTTGCCTCTAGGTTCTAGAGCAGCAGTTCTCAATCTGTGGGTCGTGACCCGTTAGGGGGTCGAACGACCTTTCACAGGGGTCGCCTGATTCATAACAGTAGCAAAATGACAGTTATGAAGTAGCAATGAAAATAATTTTATGGTTGAGGGTCACCACAACATGAGGAACTGTATTAAAGGATCACGGCATCAGGAAGTTTTGAGAACCACTGTTCTAGAGATTTCTTAAGCCATCCCTAAACCATAGTCTGGATGAGAAGCCATTGACCAGAGCTACTTGCTTCTAAATCTCTCACTTCTTTGCTTTCTTGATTCTGTTATATAGGCATACACGGTGTGTTGAAACTGAGGTCAGTGGAGTACTGTGGAATCCAACCATCAATTGCCTGCATACAAGAAAGACTCATAGGAGGTGTGGGATTGTTAGAACTGTGCTTGAGAATTGAACACTTTGATCCAGGTCATGTTGCAGCATGCTGCTAAGAAGATATTTCTGCATTCTGAATCCATGCTATTGCTGGTGGCTCCTAATAAATTTCCTCAAATTCTCATCCAAATCTTGATAGGACCCAACCCCACCCGGAGTTGTAAATGCTGACAAGATTACAGTCTTGGTGAGTAAGGCAACCACCTGCTTAGTTCACGCTGCACTCCTAATATAGCAAAATGCACAAGGCTTTCTTAAGGATTGTCAGACTTAAACAAGCAGATAAAATGTTCTTTCACAAAGATAAAAATTAATGAACCACAATAGAAAGAAACACACACACATCAAGGCCAGAAGCCAAAGAAAACACTATCATAGGTATTTTATATTGTTTGAAGTTGAACCATCCAGGACTACTCTTAGCACACTGTCTTCTTTAATCCAAATTACTTTCTTTACAACTACTTTCTTGGGCTCATGGAAATTATACAAGCCATTTAAGTAACATCTAACTAACATCTAACTAACTAATGCATCATTATAATAATCACATAATGAGAAGCTACATGACAGCTACCCCACAGAATTCCTGAAAGAGAATTCTAAAGCTATAATTCAGTATGTGAGAATAGTCTCTCAAATTCTAAAAGAGAAAGGAAAGGTGAAATGTAATATCAAAATTCACATATGGAAAAGGCTAAATTAACTTACATGATAAAATGCCAGAAAGGCTCAAGACTACATTGAAATGTTACAGACATTTAAAGGGACTGAACTAAACTAAACTATTTTTTCTCAAACTCTATCTTTAAAAAGTTAAAGTGGTTTCAAAAACTCTCATGTAATAAAATTAAAATGTTCAGTTATGAGCTACTCATTTGATTTGGGGACAGCAAAGAAGTACAATTCAGGGAACTATGGGAACTCACCCTCACAGTTTAGGAGGTTACTTGTCAATATCTATCCTACATTATTTTCTGCACCTAATGGAAGCAAATGAGTTAGCCCAAATAAAGAGGACATAAGCTTCTGAGCTTGAATACTGATCAACATCTAGGACAGTAAGTTCTGAGACTTGAAGTGTCCCATGGCTTATACTTAGAGCAGTCAGATGCATCAGTGCATGAATGCAAATGGACAGATGAGTGATCAGAAGGGCCCACACATTAAAGTTTTTTAAATAATTTAATTGGGTGCTCTTACAGATACCCTAACAATCCATAATTCAACTAGATCAAGCATAATTGTACAGTTCACATTAAGTTTTAAAACATCTACCATGGTTTCTTCAGCTCCATTTGGCTGATGCCTCACTCAATTTTAACAAGATCCTCTCAATCAGTGGTTCTCAACCTGTGGGTCATGACCCCTTTGGGGGTTGAACAACCCTTTCACAGGGGTCACCCAATTTATAACAGTAGCCAAATTAAAGTTATGAAATAGCAACAAAAATAATTTTATGGTTTGGGGGTCACCACAACATGAGGAACTGTATTAAGGGGCCATGGTATTAGGAAGGTTGAGAACCACTGCTCTAAATTAAGACTGTCTGTGAGGTACAAGTGAGATCACTTCCTGTGTCTTTAACCGTGTGTAGGGATTCATGCTTTATTAAACAGTGCTCATTTACTTACGTGTTTAAGGTTTATAAATGAATATCCCAAATATTTTAGTCTAAAATGCTTTCCAAGATATGTATCTTTTAGTTTTCTCGATAGTACTTTAAAATCTATACTACTGGATAGATTAATGATACTTATTAGAACTGCCAAATGTCTCATGGAGGCTACTGAAATTATTTCTCAACAAGCTGATAATGCTGCTCTAAAAGTAGACCAAGGATATACGTATATGTAAACTTTAGATATATTAATAAATTTTGAGCTCGCACTTAATTGTAAGTCCAATCTAAGAACAATTGGTTCTCATGATGTGGCCCTGCTCAGTATTTGCCCTCATGAAGTGATCATTGAAGATATGGGTGCTATAGCAAATATGGTGAAGAAATCAGATGGTGATCAGCTCTCAGACAAATAGCATCTAGGGTTTTAAAAGCTTTTCTTAAAACAAGCAGCCATCTAAGTGTTGGCTGAGAGCACATGGAAGAAGCATACCAGCCCGTGTGATCCAAGGATTGTAAGTAATAGAATCCAAAATCAGTGGAAGGAATTGTATTAGAGATTAAAGTCTGAGCACGTAGTTTGCAGAATGCCCCAAATGAGAGAGGAAAGCCAAAATCCATTTGCAAAGCACCCATGAAGATTAAGCATCCACTGAACTCCCTTAGCCCATTGTCTAGGGATGTGAATGGCCTTGCTCTCAGACAGGGTACATTAGAAAGTGGGAGACTGAAGATATACTTGGGTTAAATGTTAATATATTTTCGTTTGTTTTCCCTTTTGATACATTTTTAATTTACTCTATTTTCTATTTTCTTCTGCTTGCTTTTGGATTGAGGTTTTTATGTATTTTATTTTGTTGTTGTTGTTAGGGGTTCTTTGGAATGATTTTTTTCCTTAAATGAAACCAGGATAAGTAATCCACAGATGTAGTAACTAGATTCGTAATTTCTACTTTGGGTTATGGCAGGGGAGGTTGGAGAGCAGTGGGGATCTAATAATAATGGGTATATGAACAAAGCAAAAGTTCTAAAATTGATTGTGATGATGACTGCACAACACTTTAAATATATTTAAACATTGAGTTGTATAAAATGTGAATGATATACCAATTAAACTGTTAAAAAGGAAAAGAATGTGTAGGGTAAGTTAAAATAGGTGTCTGTTCAATAATTCAAAAGATGCACATGCTGCAAGTCAAGGTGATTGTGATGAAAATTTTCTTGTTGAGTAGAGGCTAGTTTAATCAGTCCAAAGAGAGGGCCAATGTTCATAGCAAAGGGTAAGAAGAAAAGAAGAACTTGTCCATAAGTCAGGGGTTCATAAGCGGGAGATTGCCTGTATTCTAAACTTAATGAAATGGCACCCAGTTGCATGGTGGATCAACTAAACATACTACTGAATTCTATATCTCCAAGAGAGATGCAGATAAATTCATTAATCAAAGGATAAGGAAAATCATAGTAAGTAGACCACTATCTTTTAATTATTTTGAAGGGCTGGTATCAGATAGCAAAATGTAATGTCTAAGAACACAGACTCTGGAACCAGATCTCATAGGTTCGAATCTTAGGTCTCCATCAACACAGGAAAGCTATTGAACCTCTCTAGAATTTCCTTCATCTGTACACTGGGGATAATAATATCTGCCTCACAGGGCTGGCACCTCATAGGTTGATTCCATGAGTTTGAAGATACTTAGAATGCTGTAGACACATTAGTGATTAATATTCTTACTAGCATCGCCCCCAAATACTAAACATATTCCAGTGGCTTTACTTGTGGAAAATGAACCAATAATAATTTAGTTCCATCATTTTTGCTGTACAGGCAAAAAACCTTGAGTTGTTTTTGAGAATCAGTAGGCATATGAAATTAATAGTTTGGCATTTTTATTACCTGTGTTGAAAATGCTTGTACGTTGATCAGTTGTGGCTCAGAGAAGAACTGTTGGTCACTAACTTTCAGGGAAAAGTAACCTTTCCTAAAAGAAGTCCCGGAGAAATAAAAGAAGAAAAAAATCATTAAATGAGTTTTTAGAAAGAACAAAAAGAAAATATGAGGGGCTTCAAAAAGTTCACTGAAAAAAATGTAGTTAAAAGATAACAGATTTTTTCCCCCCCAAACTTTTTGAGAAACCCTCCTCCCTTGTATTTTCCAGCATTGAAGAATTTAGATCGAAATGCTCTACAGTCATATAATAGTCACACTATAAATAAAAATCAAATATATATAAAATATATTTTTATGCATTATACACTTTAAAATGCAGTTTAAAATACTATGCATTTTTACCCCTTTTATAACAATTATTTAACATTTTGTTTTTCTAATTTCCTAAAATTGATTAAGTAAACTCTTAAAAAAGAAGTTGTTGGGGCAAGACAACTTAGTAAAATACTCACATTGGAGCACAGAATGGAACTTTTAGAGTCTGACCAATTCATATCGATCCGTCTTCCCCCAGACCCACCTCCCCCACCCCTGCCCAATTCATGTGAGTCGACTTCCAAGAACAGGGTCTACAGTGTCTGAATTCCAAGACTTCATCCATCCTCCAGCACACACCCTGTGTGAACAGGCAGAGGGAAGGATAGTGATTCTATCCCTTGAGAATGTGGACCTGGCCTAAGAGCCAATAGTTACTCTCTCTCCATTTGACTATAAGGCAATGTCTCCATTTGACTATAAGGCAATGCAGTTTGCTGTACAGACTAGAATGTGGAACAATGCGGTTTACCAGCGAGATGAATGAAGTCAGTGAACACAGATACAGAGAGGCAAGAACTGACTCCGGACTGCTTTCCATTACCAGTGCGGCTTCCAGATTTGCCCTGCAGGCAGCTGCCCTTGTCTTTCAGATCTGCGCCACCCTTTCAATGTTACAAGCCTTACTTTCACCTCATTTAGTTCGTCTTGGCTTCCATTGTTTGTAACCAGAGTCTTAATTAATAGAGAGGACCAAATGCAGTTTACACATTATTATGGCTCTCGCTTCCTTTGAAAATGTGTTGTTCTAGCAGCTTCAGAGACTGAGAGAAGAGGCTGTAGGAGTTGGGCAGCTTTATAGCTACAAGTAGCTGGCTGGTGAGACATGGTGAAAGCATCATGGGAGTTTTTATATCCTGGTCTACCTTAAGGGAACTTGGTGTAAAGGTTCTGTAAAATGTATTCTTGGAAGTAAAATGGAAGACTATGAATGAATCTCAAAAGCGTTAGAGTAAGAGCAAAAGTCTACACTGCAAACTTTCATTTATATGGCATTGAAGAAAGATGAAAGTATAGGAACACAGAGAGATAGATGTGGTTGCCGGGTCTGGGGGGTGGGGTGGGTTGGAAACATAATTGAATTTAAGGAGGCACAAGGGGATTTCTTAGGGCCTTGGGAATATTCTCTATCTGAATTGCAGTCGTGGTCACAAGATTATATACATTTGTCAATACTCACTAACCATGCACTATAACATGGTGAATTTTACTGAATGCAAATTATACCTCAATAAGCCCGATTTTTATAAAAAGTATTCTTGTCTTCCCTCATATGCTAGCTTTGGTCTCACATTCTGCCCCCCTTTAAATCCTGTCCTTCTTCCCCTCCAACTCCAGACTTCAAGAAAATGCAATTGGTGGAAGTAAGAGTGAGGAAAGAAGAGGGGGCTGTTCCCAACTCACTGAGGGGAATGATTTTCATAGCTCCAAGAAAGATGCACTGCCCTCTAGTCAATTCTGACTAATGGCAACCCTACAGGCCAGGGTAGAATGGCCCCTGTGGATTTCTAAGACTGTAACTCTTTGCATGAGTAGAAAGCTTCTTTCTCCCACAGAACAGCTGGTGGTTTCAAACGGTTGACCTTTCGGATAGCAGCCAAACACGTAACCACGATGCCACTCGAGCGCCTTGATTTTGGTAGCACTTACATCTAAATAACAGTGTTAACAGTTTAGCAAAGCCAGAGTAGCACAGTCATTACAACCACATGTGGCTATCTTTTACTCCACAGGAGGATTTCATTCCCAAAGGAATCAGAATGAAGGTATTCGAATGTAAAAAAAAAAAGGTCAGTGTGCTCATGGGAATAAACAAAACACACACCTAGGTGACAAGTTGCCCCTGTCATTTTTTTGTAACTTCAGAGGCTTCCATGACTTTCTAACAATTTTATTATTCCTTTCAATATTTGTTTTGGATTTTTATAAATTTAGTAGCTAGCTAGAAGTAAAAAAGAAAAATCAGTTATGGGTAATACATACATACATAAGTGCTGAAGAACAAGGATGTAACTTTGAGGACTAAGGCGCGCCTGATCCAAGTCATGGTATTTTCAGTCGCCTCAAATGCATGTGCAAGTTGGGCAGGGAATCAAGAAGACTGAAGAAAAAGTGATGCACTTGAAGTATGGGGCTGGTGACAAATACTGAGCGTACGATGGAGTGCCAAAAGAAAAACACCAATCTATCTTAAAAGTACAGCCAGAGTGAATCTTGGAGTCAAGGATGGAGAGACTTTATCTCACACATTGAACGCTGTCGGGAGAGATCAGTCCCTGGAGAAACAGGCATCATGCTTAGTAGAGTAGAAGGGCTGCAAGAATGAGTAAAGATCCTTGATGAGATTGATCGGCACGGTGGCTGCAACAACTGTGAGGCTAGTCCAGGGCCAGGGTTCTGCTCTGTCATATGGAAGGAGAGGCGGCAGAGTGGACTGGAAGGCACAGAGGAGCAGTCGGTGGGAGGAGGAGAAGGGACGGCAGGGGACATCCCTGCCATAAACTAGATTAGAGGGGAGAGAGGTGTTAACTTGGGGGAAGGGGGAAGAAGACATTCAACAAGAGGGAGCTGCAGGGGTCAGAGAGGTGATGGAAGCAGGGCAAGCCAATGGGACGTTTGGTATGTTGCTGAACATAAGAGGATCTGATGAGAAAACCCTCACTGGATTCACAAGAAGAAAAAACACACCAAGCTGTTAAGAGGTTAAAAACCAATCGGGACAAGTCCCCTTCGACTGATGGTGACCCCGTGTGTGTCAGGTAAAACTGGGCTCCACCGTGGGGGTTTTGCATGGGCAGGGTTTTCAGAAGTAGTTCACCAGGCCTTTCCCTGGCTGTTCATCTAGGTGGACTTGAACTTTCAAACTTCAAGGTGAATTAGCCATTTGCACCTCCCAGGATCTCCAAAAGGAGATTAACCCTCGGTTTCCGGACATTGCTTCAATCCCTATCTCTATGGACATGTGTCAAATTGACACGTGAATAAAACCACTCATTTCCTTAAAAGACCAACTTATTTTACTTACAAACAACATAATTACACACTATTAACTTATAAATGAAACTCTGTGAGACTATGTATTTATATACAATATATAATATTATGCAACATTTGAGAAATTGGGTCCGAGGTGCTGTTAAGGTCGCTTAGGTCAGTCGGTATGACAATCTCCGCTGCATCGTTCATCTTTACATTTCATGTTTACGCTCTAATAACTTCTGACTATGTGCACATTGATTACTGAAGTAATGCTTTCATGAATGGAACCGCTTTACTGAGACTAATGCTCAATTCACATTCATTTCAAATTGACGCGTATCCATTGAGAAAGGTTATATGCCACATAGAGAATTTTGAGATTAGGAGGCTTACGAGAACATGAATTTGGACATCTATTTGTCTTGTTAAATGCATACATAATGGTCGGGGATAAATGTAAATGGCTGCTGTCATTTTCATCGAGGAAATGGAAATGCATCGAAAGGATGCATCCCACCAGCCCGGTGTGAAAGAGGTTCAATCAACAAACTTTCAAGCACTGATTGTCTACAGAGTGTCACACTTTGGACAAGCCATTTCAAGACAGTGCAGTACAGAGCTGTGGGTACTGTGTCTGAGGGGAATGCAAGCACACAAGAACTACGCTTGCAGCAGAATGAATAGATGCAAGGCACGTGACACGAATTTGGAGAGCAGTTCGGTGACATCAAACACCAGAACAGCAAGCTCCATCTCTGCTGCCAAACTTCTCTGCAATGATACTTTGTCCCTAAGAACAGAAGCATCCCCGTCCGTCTTACCTTATTCAGAAACAGAAAGAAACCAAACTCACTGCCACAGAGTAAACTCTGACTCACAGCAACACCGTCTGGTTCCTGAGGCTGTAAATATCTATAGGGCCAGAGAGCCCACCTTTCTCCCACAGAGTGACTGGTAGGTTCAAACTGCTGACCTTGCTCAACATGACAGCCACTAAACCAGCAGGGATCCTCTCGTTTTTTTTTTTAATCATTGTATTTGGGGCTCGTGTAACTCTTATCACAATCCATACATTCATCCATTGTGTCAAGCACATTTGAACATTTGTTGCCACCATCATTTTCAAAACATTTTCTTAAGATCGATAATTTTCATAATACAGTGGAGGGCCACAATGCTCTTCTGTTACCTCCTATGTAGAGAAGTTATAATATAGTTTCTTATGCAATAGAGTGATAACTCAAATTTCCAAGACCATATCTAATAATTGGGCAGCCTCGTCACGTGCACTGCTTCCAGACTATGCAGTATTGCCATGCTATGGATGTATTACTAGACTAATGAATATTGTTCCTCAATTTATTTTTGTAACTTATATCTATTTTTTCTGTACTTTTATTGGGGCTCTTACAGCTCTTATCACAATCCATACATTCATCCACTGTGTCAGGCACATTTGCACATATGCTACCATCATCATTTTCAAAGCATTCTCTTCCCATTTGAGCCTCTGATATCAGCACCCCATTTCTTCCCCTTCCCTCCCCTCCCCTCCCTCCCTCATGAAGCTTGATAAGTAACAGATTGTTATTTCCATATCTTACATCATCATCCTTCAACCCTCACCCACTTTTCTGCTATTCATCCCCCTGGGAGGAGGTTATAGATTGATCCTTGTGATCAATGTCCCCTTTCTCCACATCCCCTCCCCTAATCCTCCTGGTATTTCTACTCTCCTTGTTGGCCCTGAGGGGTTTATCTATCCTGGATTCCCTTGTTAGGGGCTCTTATCTGTAGCAGTGTGCATGTTCTGGGCTAATCCGGTTTGTAAGATAAAATTGAAGTCTTGATAGTAGGGGGAAGGAAGCACCAAAGAACTAGAGGAAAGTTGTGTGTTTCATCGGTGCTATACTGCACTCTGACCGGCTCATCTCTTCCCTGTGGCCCCTCTGTGAGGGGATGTCCAATTGTCTACAGGTGGGCATTGGGTCTCCACTCCATGCTGCCCCCCACCATTCACATTGGGTATGATTTTATTCTGGGTCTTAGATGCCTGATACCTGATTCCACTGACACCTCATGATCACACAGGTTGGTGTGCTTCTTCCATGTGGGCTTTGTTGCTTCTGAGCTACATGGCCGCTTGTTTATCTTCAAGCCTTTAAGATCCCAGATGGTATATCTATTAATAGCTGGGCATCATCAGCTTTCTTCACCACATTTGCTTATGCACCCATTTTGTCTTCAGCGATCGTGTCAGGAAGGTGAGCATCACAGAGTGCCAGATTGTTAGAACAAAATGGTCTTGTGTTGAGGGAGTACTTGAGTCGAGGCCCAATGTCCATCTGCAACCTTAACCCTTAATATATAGATATGAGTACATAATTCTATTCCCTTCTCGTTATATATATATTTACATATATTCATGCCTGTATTTAGACCTCTATAAATGTCCTTTGCCTCCTGGTTCTTTCCTCTATTTCCTTTTACTTTCCTCTTGTCCCACCATCATGTTTGGTCTTCCTTGGGGTTTAGTAATTCCTCTCGTATTTTTAACCATTGTCACCTGGTCGATTCTGACTCACATTGACCCAGGATAGGGTTTCTGAGACTTTGTAAATCTTTACGGGAGCAAAAAGCTTCAGCTCTCTTTCTCTGAATGGCTTCGACCCCTCCGATCTTGTGGCTAGCAAGCCAAGGCTTACCCCCAGCGTCCCCTGACGTTCTTTCGCATATGATTGAAAACAAACCCCAAACTCACAGCCATCGAGTCAATGCTGACTCAGAGACCCCATAAGACACTGTTCTGCTCCTGTGAGTGTGCGAGACTGTAACTCTCCACGGGAGGAGAAAGTCCCATTGTCTTTCTCCCCTCCCATGGTGCTGCTGGGTGCTAACCTTGCAGTTAACGGCTAACAAGAAATCACTAATCCACTAGGGCTCCTTCATGCAGAAATCATACTAACCGCATGGTTTGTGACATCAGCGAGCGCTGGACTAGAGTTACATTTCTACCATCATGCGAGGCCAGGTCTTGGGTAAGGTTACATCTATTCTCAGGGCCCCGTTTCAACAGAGACCAGACATGTGTTTACAATGTCTGTAGGGGACCAGGCACGCGCATGGCAATCCTGTGTGTGTCAGAGCACAGCTGTGCTCCATCAGGTTTCCTACGGATACAGCTGGCTTCTCAGACACAGACCACCTGACCTTTCTTTTGAGAGGCTTTATGTGGACTGGAGCCTCTCACCTTTCAGTAGTGGCTGAGCTCCTTAATTGCTCCTCCTACCCAGGGGCAGCAGGCTCGGCTTGTAGTTAGCACTCAATAAATGCTAGCTGTTTTTTTTCACTCCGCTTCAGCCATCTTTTAGTGTGACTACCCTCATTAGCACTGAAGTGGCAGGAGCAGTAATAGTAGTACAATCTCCTCTTCTGCCCACTTAGCAGCTAGCCTAAACCTCCAAGCAAACAAACTCAGATTTAGTGTTGACAGTAGAAAATATCCACTTGTCCTTATCGAGGAGTTTCAATTCCTTATTTGCACATGTTGTAGACTGAATTATTTAACTGAGTTAAGCAGCACAGGGTGAAAGAGAATCTAAGAGGCTAATCTTTGGGGTGCAGGCTTGGACTTCAGTTCAGATTTACTCTGCTAATTACATGGGCTCTATTGGCCTGGGCTCAAGCTAACCTACTGCATTCCTGGAGCATATGTCAGCGGGGGTGGGGAAGACGGTCAGAAGCATGCTCTGCGAGCATCAAGGGAAAACTTGATCGGGCTTAGAAATGAACCACCATTAATCCCATCAGGTGAACGGTGACTCTCTATTTTCCTTCTCATTTTGAGACTTGCGGGAACATACTACACCTTCCAAAGCAGGTGCGCCACCTTCTAGCCCACCCTCACCCCAGGACATTAGCCAACTGTTGAGGAAACAGGTGCTGGAGCATCTGGGTCTATAACTAGTTCTGCTTCTGCTGAGCCCCCAAACTGGATAATTGGACGAGGAACTTTCCTGTTGCATCAGAGAATTACCCATAATTATGTGATAAAATGAAAATGCCTTTCACAGAAGCACATTCGCTGAGCAATTACAGCGAAATGATGACAGGCAGCTGAAAATGTGTGGTGCGTGCGGGCTCTTCCCGCAAAGAACAGGCGTGGATAGTGAGCCAGTGAGACGGGGTGCGGGCAAAGCAGCACAGAGGACCACGTCACCTGGGCTTTTCTTTGCTGTGCACAAAGCGCATTCTCTTCTCTTTCACATCTTTCCAGCTGAAACGGCCCGCCTTGTCCAGCTGCACCTCTCTCCCGTGCCTGGAGAGCACCAGCCTGCCGTTGGTGGGGGTGCTCACGACGTGAAAGAGGAGGTCCTCAACCCTGCCGCCCTGGGCTTGCACATTCAGGAACGAAAACTCCAGCGGCTTCATGGAACCAATTGGAAGGGTGAGGGAGCCATTCACATGAAGACTAGGGGTGTGCGTTTTACCTGGAAAACATGAATCCAAATGTCAGGCTTGGCACAGTCACTAATAAGGTTCTTTAAGAAGTGGGCCTGTAACTTAAGTTCAGAGCTACACAGACGCGACACCACAACATAAGCCTCTTCCTAACCAGCGGTTCACGCCTGGATGTTCATGGGATCATTTGCAATTGTTACACCAGCATTTTAATTCCCTTCTAGAAA